CGCCCCCGAGGCGGAGGGGCCCACGTGCAGGCTGCCGTCTGGAGGTCGAAACACACAGCCTGGGACTTGCCCCAAGCCGGGTGGGAATCCGACTCTGAGGCAGGCCAGGTGGGGGAATCGGGGGGAGGCCTGATGGGCCATTGGGGGACAGAAGCTGGGGAAGAGGCTTCCTGCTGCCTCGCCTCAGGGCTGTGACCACACCCGGCAAAGGGGCAGAGGGCGAGGCCGCTCTGCGCCCGCACACCGAGACAGCCAGGCCCCGCGGTCCCACGACTGGGACACTGTGGCCCTTACACGGGAGGGAGTTGGATGGCCCAGGCTGGGACAAATCTTCCCTCTTGGCCAGTGGTTTGAATCCAGCCCAAGGCTGGCTGGGCCCCGCACAGGCTGGCTGGGGGTCCTGCTGGGAGGTCACAGAAGCCAGCGCTGTTGTCCCTGCCTGGCCAGGGAGACGGTTCCCTTCCGCCCCAGAGAGACCACGCAGGTGCGATTCTCTGGGCTGGGCTCTTGGAGGTTTAGCAGAGAACATCAGGGCTGTGAATCCAGCCCCTTTCCCCCGCGTGGTGGCCCGGGCCCTAGAGTAACTGGAACCCACCTCTGCTCCGCCTAGGGTAATAAACTAGGCACCTACCTGGGATATAGGCGTCGCCCCGGAGCTGGTCCGAGAGCTCTCCCCAGTCCTGGGACCCCAGCACGGCTGCCCGGCGCCTTTTCACCAGGAAAGCCTTTGGCATGGCGCATGCAACAACAGGCTCAGCCAGGCGAGGTCTCAGCAGCCCCGTGGACCGTTCCAGCACCCCTCCAGCCCGCTCTGATGTCCCTGGGTGACACCCCAGGGCCAGGCGGAACAGGGATGCCAGGGAGTAAGAACTGGGAACGCTTTCGGTACCGGCAGCAGCAACACGGGGCCTTGGGATGGAGAAGCGGCCGAAGAGCGCCAGGCCTCTTCAAAGAGCCACGGAGGCTGCGTGCTCCGCCCTGGGAGGCACCGTCTTCATTTTACCAGTAGAGAAACTGAGGCAGCGACGGGCATTGGACCCTCGATGGAGTTAATAGGACCCAGGCTCCGCTAGACCCCACCCTTCCGTGCAGAACAAAGGAACAAAGCCAGCAGCGTCTAATACCAAGACATGCTGTTTCCCTGCCACAGGGCGCTTCCCTACATGACCCCCCCCTTTGAATGGGCATGCCTCAGTTTCCCCAGGTGTGACTGTGGCTACAGCGCAGCAGGATTAGACGTGAAAACTCGCTGGCTACCAGAATGATGCTCAGAGCACTAGGCCTACACAGCTGGCCAAAGAAACAGACCCAGCAGCACCCTCTCCGAGAAGCCGCCACTTACCCGCCAGCCCAGCAGGACAGGGTGAGCGTGCAGGCGTTTATATAGACGCTGAGGCAGCGAGGATTTGAATTGCCCGAGTGGGCCAGGAACACGCCGCCTCATTCTTTGCATGCGCCGCGCTCTTCGCTGCCAACAAAATAAAACCTTCCATCCTCTTCATGCAAATCTACAGCGCCGGCCCCAGGCAGGATCGCTGACGGTTACCTGGCCTTGGGCAGCAGGCTCCGAGGGAAAGCGGGTTCAAACTGCGTGGGTGATGGAGAGGCCTCGTGAACTGCACATCTAAGGGACCCGCCTGACTCTACAGCCTTTGAGCGCTTTGCAGTACTCAGTGACGTTCCCCTCACACCCGCCTTGCAAAGCGCGGCAGGGCGGCTCTGGTGCAGATGCAGAACAGAGGCAAAGGCCCAGTTTCTCCAAGGTACGGGAAATCCATACAAGTCAGGCATCCGAAAACCGGGAAGGGTCTAGGCCCAGGTCACACAGGGAGCCTGTGGCAGAGCAGAGAAACTGAGGCACAGAGCGGGGAACTGACTCGGTCGAGCTAACAGGACCCAAGAGTTCACACTCCCACTCGTTTGCCAACCACTAGACCCCACTCCCCTTCCAGAGCTGGGGATAGAATCAAGGGGTCCTGGCTCCCAGCCCCCCTGCTCTAACCACTAGACCCTCCTACTCCTCTCCCAGAGCTGGGGATAGAATCCAGGGGTCCTGGCTCCCAGCCCCCCCATCTCTAACCACTAGACCCCACTCCTCTTCCAGAGCTGGGGATAGAATCAAGGGGTCCTGGCTCCCAGCCCCCCTGCTCTAACCACTAGACCCTCCTACTCCTCTCCCAGAGCTGGGGATAGAATCCAGGGGTCCTGGCTCCCAGCCCCCCCATCTCTAACCACTAGACCCCACACCTCTTCCAGAGCTGGGGATAGAATCAAGGGGTCCTGGCTCCCAGCCCCCCCATCTCTAACCACTAGACCCCACACCTCTTCCAGAGCTGGGGATAGAATCAAGGGGTCCTGGCTCCCAGCCCCCCCATCTCTAACCACTAGACCCCACACCTCTTCCAGAGCTGGGGATAGAATCAAGGGGTCCTGGCTCCCAGCCCCCCTGCTCTAACCACTAGACCCTCCTACTCCTCTCCCAGAGCTGGGGATAGAATCCAGGGGTCCTGGCTCCCAGCCCCCCCATCTCTAACCACTAGACCCCACACCTCTCCCAGAGCTGGCAATAGTACCCAGGAGTCCCAGCACCCAGACTCCTGGCTCTATGCACCACACCCCACCCTCTCTCACCAAGGAAAGCAACAGCCGAGGCTGGTGCCCATAAGCACCGCTCCTCAACTTACACCCCTCCTCTGGTTTGTTTCCTTCCAGCCCGTCTAGAGTCCGTGGCAGGTGCTAGTCATGTCTGGAGAAATCCGTTTCCTGCTCAGACCACTTGGGACAGCTGGGAACTGAGACGGGGCCTCCCTGCCAACACACGAATCAGTGACTCCAACCCCGCCCGGGCGGCCCTCGTAACAGTCAGGGTTCCAAGCCACCCACCCAGATCTTCCCCGCACCGCAGCAGCTGATTCACATCCTGGCTTGTGTGGACAAGCCCTTTGTTTGTAGAGCAAGCAGGGCCTCCCTCGGTTTGGACAGAGCCGTGAGATGAGCTCTAGGACCATAACCAGAGGCAGGATCCCTGGGTTCCACAGGGGCTCAGACGAGACGATCATTTTGGCCCCTTCTGCCTTGGAAGGTGCTTCCAGGAGTTCCCGTCAGAACTATTCGATTTGCAGGAGAGACGCCAAGACAAAAGATCACCCTAGTCAGCCTCAGCCGGCCAGGAACACACCAGCTGGAGGTCTCTCTTGGGAGGTTTGTTAGTCAAATAAAGGGCACATCCATAAAAATCAAACTGCTGGCAAAGCTGTCCATGGAAACAGGTTTATTCAAATCAAAGCACCAAGCAAAACCGTGGCAGAGGGCTATGAAAATGTGGGTCTGTTTAAAAGAGATTTATTTCCTTTGATATCAATCGGAGACCGGCCAGAGGAGCAGGCAATGAGTGTTGGCTGGTGAACCCAGGAAGCTAACAGATCCCAGCCAGGCTACACTCTGGGCAGTGGAATAAGAACGTGGTTTAGCTCTAATAGAAATTTCATCTGTAGGTTCATAAAATATTCTGCAGAGGAGAAAACTCAGGCACAGGGCTGGGGAGAGGGGAGAGATCTTCCTAAGGATCAAGAGGCAGAGTCAGGAGTATAATTCGGTTTCCCAATTATCCACTAGACCGTACTACCTCCCAGCAAAGGAGTTGTTCCGTACAGCAGTGATGGGCAACCAAGGCTAGTGACTCTTCTCCCTCTCAGCGGGCCGCAAGGTTGCTGGGACCAAGACGAGCTTCTGGGACAGGCTAGTTTTTCTCCCTGCGTACCGAGAATTCGCAGGGGGTGCAGACTGAACCGTGGCAACGCTCCGACTGGACTCTCAATGCGGCGTGCAATCAGCGTGCACCTTGCCGGGATGTTAGTGTGGAATCGAACAGTCGTGTAACCGCAAGAAATCTTAGCCGTTCTACGACGATTCGATAACGCTCCAGCCCCACTCCCAGGGATATTAAAGACAAGTCGACAATCTGAGAAGCATCCAATATCTGCTGACCCCGGGCTCCATGGCTTTGAAATGCACAAAAGCCCCTGCTGGGGACTCTGGTGCCTTTCAAAGCAGGCACCTGTGTGCAACCCGGAGTCGGCAGGACTTCCCGCTGGCCCCGGGCTGTATGCGGAGTTCAGCATTGCTCCATCAATCAGCAGGACAAGTGGCACTTTGACCCTTACCCTCGGTGCCAGGTGCCCCAGAGGGAGGGAACAGAACAGGGAACCGTCAAGAAATCCCTCCCATAATCCATTTAGCCTAACAGAGGCTAGGAACACCATGCCTACCCACCGAGGCCCATGAGTATTGATGGACCTACCCTCTGTGAATTCATCCAGCTCTTTTTTGAACCCAATTAACGTTCTGTCTTCACAACGTCCTCTGGATTGCACACGGAGCTCTATACTCCAGCCCTGGCTGCCCGAGACCCCTTTGGATCCCACAGCGAGGGTAAGGGTCAAAGCGCCACGTCCTGCTGACGGATGGAGCATGGGCAGTGACTGGTCACGGCCACTCTAACCTCTCTTGCAGAAGCTTTGGGAAATGTATGGTCTTAACTCTGCCACTGACCCGCTGTGCAGCTTTAGACAAGTCACTGCCTTTCTGTGCCTCAGTTTCCCCCTCTAAAATGAAGCTACTTTTGGTGTTCTAGATGACTGGCGGTCTCGCCCTATCACCGTGCCTCAGTTTCCCTGTCAAATGGGGACAATGATCCTGACCTCTAAAGCGCTGGCGATCTGTGGGGGAAGGAAAAGCACAATAGGCAATCCTTATGCTTCTGGGCAGTCTTCCGCTGGGCTTCCAGGCTTAACTTAGGCTGGATTTGAACCAGCCAGGTAGAGGTAAAAGGTCAATTTTGCCATTAGGGTTCTTCCAATGCCCTCAAGCTACCAGGGCTGTTTCCCCAAAGCCGACACGTATAACAGACCAATACGCTGTGATGTGAGTCACAGGGAAATGTCAGGCATGAGTCAGAGGAGATATTCTAATCATGGCCCCTTTAAAACGTATTCAATGTATGAAGCGATGGGAGACGCAGTCCTTCAAGTACAAACACATTTATTTTAAAGACATCTTGAAAGGGCAGGGGTCTAAAAACAGAAATACTATTGCCAAAGCAACTTAAAATACAGATCCAAACGTATCGGCGGCACCTCAGCCCTCTCTAACAGTCCGAGTGTTTTCTTCTAAAACAGCCCTTGTTCGGCTACTGCTCAGGACTGTTTGCTGAGGTCATGAAAAGACAATTTACACACACACACAAACCCAAGACCAACTAAATAAACCAAACCAGTGCCGAAGACAACAGTTAAAACACATCGACCTAAAAGGTCTGACTCCGCAGGAGTCACACGGGGGCCCAGAACAGCGTTGTGGTCTTTCCGGCTCTGCATTGCCATAAAACATGCCCTTGACTCTTCTCCCTGGTGGGTCATTCTGGTTTAACACAGTCATCAAGTTTTTTCTGGACCATTCTCACCAGTGATTCTGAGTAATGTTTCAAGAGATAGAGCGTCTCGTTGTCATGCAGGGACTTGAGCTGAGGGGATGGACTGTCCGTAGCTGTTGCGACATCAGCATTGTTCTTGACAGCTCTGGAGTCCAGTTCCGTTTTCATCCAGCTGAAAGTGCTGGCAAGCATGGTTTTTACCTGGAGAAGTTCCTCCTCTGTGGATTCTTTGTGCGAGGTCAGCTATGGAGAGAGCGCAGTAAGGAATCGGACAGCGTACTTACGAAAAGACTAAGAGCTGAGTAAGCTATTTGAATTCTGGTCAGACCAGTGGCCACCGGTTCAGTGCATTTCAGGATCAGTTTCGTCATTAAGATCGTTATGATCTTCCGTTTTCTGCTGTATTGAATTTTAGTTTTAAAGGATCCCAAAGAGCTAGCCAAGCTGGTATGCAAATTAGGGATGATCTTTAAACTAGGGATGATCTAGATGGTGCTTGGTCCTGCCACGAGGACAGGGGCACTGGACTTGATCTCGAGGTTCCTTCCAGTTCTAGAATTCTACGGTTCTCTACCACATGGGTGTGCACAGCCCCAGCGCCTAGAAAACACTTCAGGCCTGCTGCTGCCTCTGCTACCCTTGGGGACTTGTGCAAGTCAAAACCTTTGTACCTCAGTTTCCCCTCACACACAAACTGCGGTTTAAGTGTTCCATGTTAGTCTGCATCTCAACCTTGGGGGCAGAGTTCACAGTGACTTCTGTTATCAGGTCCCCCCTCAGCCTCCTTTTCTCAAGACTCAGGCTGGGTCTGCACTGGGAAGGGTTGGCGACAAAAGGGCTGTCGACATGCAAAAGCGAAAACTGATCAAACCGGTTTTTCTGCCTCCCATTGTCGACATTTCACATTGCTAGCTCCGCTGTCAACAGATAGAGCAAAGCATTGTGGGTAAGCATCCCACAGTGCAGTCCTGTGGGAAGGCAGAGCTGATCCCTGCGCTTCTTGGGATTCTCGCCAAGTTCTCCCAGAGCCTCTTCAGCTGCCGGGAGCAGCGGCATGAGCAGCTCCGAGTCTCCGTGCTGAGGGACATCAGAGCAGCACAGCCGTCTCTCCAGCGTCCCCCTGCAGCAGCCGCCTGCCTGCTGCTGGGTTCCTAGCAGGGCAGAACAGGAGCTTCTAATGATTTGCTCTTTGTTTGTTCCCCAAAGGGAGCAGCTCACTCAGCTCTCAGACACTTCCCAGAGCTTCGAAAGGGGAGGGGCAGCAGAGATCACAAAACACTGAGCGGGACATGGTGGGACCCTGGCGGAAGCCAGTTCTCCAGACAAAACAAACAATAGAATCCACACTGGGTCTTTATTGACAACAAAGGGAAGGGGAAAGAAAAAATTCTCCCCCAGGGCTGGAAGTTTTTTTGTTGCCAAAACTGGACGTTTCCCTGCTGGGACAAAAGTCACATTGTGGTGTAAACACTCTCACTGGTTTGCCACCCAAAGGCAGGTTTTGGCAACAAAACATGCCAGTGTAGACACAGCCTTAGGCCATATGTCTAAGGGAGAGGGGATTTGGGTGGCCATTTCAGGGTGTGTCAGTCGCAGAGCAAGAGTCTGGTTCACTCTGACTCCTGCTAACGCGAGAGCTGGAAGAGACGCTGCGTTCGCCTCTCTGTCTCTCTCTCCAAGATAAGAGTGGAATGCTGACCTCAGTGAGAACCTTGAGATAAGACAGTGTCCGATGGGAACTGAGTGGGCAGGGAAGTAATTGTTTAATGTTATATGTAACAGAAAGGTATATATATTGGCTTTTAATTGTTTTGTATTTGAAGATCCGCTTATGCTGTCTTCCCTTGCAATATTGCTCGAATAAACTGCCTCTGGCTACTTGTTGCTTAAACACAATGCAGAGTGAAGGCTCGTTATCTTCCACAGCTCCATACAGGGACGATTTACAAGACAGAGTATCCCACATCTATTACAGAGTTGTATACCGTGCTCTGAAGCATCTGACATGGTCACTGTCAGAGAGAGGATGCAGGACTAAATGGACCCAGGACGGCCCACTCATATGACAATCAGTTATGGCAGGCCCAGTCTACATAAACCACATTGTAACGTCATGTGAGCAGGCTTGGCGGGAAGGAATTAAACCCACTACTTGACATGTTCCTCTAGTCTAGGCTAATCCGTGCATCGAGAAATAGTTTGCAGCCATTCTGAGGCTCATCACCGCAAGAGTTAACAGGCTCAGTAATTCCACCAACAGGTAGGGCTCCTAGCGAGCATGTTGGCACAACATCAGGTATTTTCAGTTTATTGCATTTCTTCATCCCACCCTGTACCTTGTCGTAAAGCTGCAGTGTCTCCTGGAATGCAGCATGCAGAGGCTGCAGGTTCGTTTCAAAGCTTTTCATGAGGATCTGGGTTTCTGAGAATAAAAAGATTTACTGGGGTTGGACATGCAGTTTCCACATCGGGAGCCTTCCTAGACAAACCTCAGCTGTGCTCTTCTATTATTGTAGCCAGCTACTTTCTTTCAATGACTGTGCAAACCTTCCCAAGAGGACTAGGATAAATATGAAGTCTCCTCTAATCCTTGCTGCCTATTAGTGACAAGTGTTTGGCTCTTCAAAGGCAAGTTAGAACCTTTCAATTCTCCTCACAAACCCAAAACGACGACATCAGAATCATCTCAGTCTAGTAACCCCAGCGGGACGGCAGAATCTCTTTATTATTCCAGAAATTTTGGTGGTGCCCAGAATGTCCCCTCCCACACTTAAGCTCCCTCCTTCTCCCACCCGCCTTAGGCTCTGGGAGGGAATTTGGGTACTGGGTGCAGGCTCTGAGCGGGGGCAGAGGATTGTGGTGCGGGAGGGGGGGCAAGGTGCAGACTCTGGGCTGAGTGCAGACTCTGGGAAGGAGTCTGGGGGCAGGATCCAGGGGGCTGCAGGCTCTGGGATGGGGTCTGGGGGCAGGATCCAGGGGGCTGCAGGCTCTGGGATGGAGTCTGGGGCAGGAGAGGGTTGGGGGTGGGGTAGGGGGGTTACCTGGGGCATCCCCTCCAGCAGCGGCTCTTAGGTGGGGGGTTAGGGAGTCTCCATGTTCTGCTGCCCACAGCATCCTATTGGCTGGGGGAAGACGCACACGCACCAGGGCTGCGGGGACCTCCAGCGGCTGCTTAAGCCTTGCTGCGCTGCCACCAGAGCCATTTTAAAAGGTCAGGAAGCAGCAGGCAAGTTGGGGAACACACCAGGGATAGAAGGGAGAGAGAACCTGGGACCAGGGGAAAAACCTGGCCTGAAACTTTGCTGGAGAAGGGCTCTAGGCCCAGGACTATTCCTGGACCCTGGGCCCATATAACTCGCTGCCCCTGAAACCAATTACAGACAAAGCAGATTAAGTTATGGGAAAGTTTACACCAGGGGTCGGCGAGAGGATTTTTTGTGGCGTGTGCAGCATGGCCTAGGGGTCGGGTGGCATGACCCTGGGGTGTGCAGCTTCCGGGAGCTAAGGGGTTAACACCCCTCCCCCTCCCGTCTCCCCACTACAGGCTCTGCCTCCTGCTCCGGGAGGGTGCAGGGCTGGAGCTGCTCCTCAGATGAGGGTGACGTGGCTAGTCACGTGCTGCCGCCGCCCCCCCGGGGCACCGG